GAGTGAGTGAGAGAGTGAGTCTTAAACCCATATTTAACGGCTCTTAGTATCATATCTCTATGTAGCTCTGGTTCCCTAACTTTGCCTTTCCTGAACAGATACCACCCCAGGGGACTGCACCCAACAAGCTTGCAGTTATTTATGTATTTGTCTCCAGATAGATTCATAGAAAACAGCGCTCTGTTGTCAGTTTTTAAAAGTTACAGGATTCCCAACTGGAGAGAGAGTTTTTTCTTTTCCAGTTGTATTGGCTGTAGTTCTTGTGCCATACAGCTCATTAGTTCAGCCCCCTCAAGAGGAGTCACCGCAGTAAGTTTGGGACATGTTCTACATTCTTGGAGAGAGACTTTTTGGTGGTTGTGCTCCTGCCTGGCAGCAGATGGAAAGCTTTTGTTCTCAGGACAGACACCTGCTGCTCTTGATTCCTGCCCGAGCAACCCTACAGACAGGGTCGAGCTGCCTCCTAGTTCTCCAAGGCTGTGGATCTTTGGACAAACAGACTGCTGTCGTCTTTGACTCTAATGACCCTACAGGGCAGGGCAGAGCGTCGTGGAAACAGGTTGCTGCAACTTTTTGTCTGTGGAGCCGCTGGTGAATTCCAGCTGCCAGCCTTTTGGTTACCCATCGGGCACCTGACCAGTGGGCCACTGGCGTCTTCTGGTCGGTATCAAAACCAAGCCCACCCCGTGGAGGCAATTCTGGTGCATAGCGACCCTGTGGGGCAGAGTCAGAGGCTATACATCTGTACAAGAGCAGACAGCCTCCACTTTCTTGCGTAGATTTTGAGTCGCCTACCTTAAGGTTAGCAGCACAGCACTGACCCCGCGGCACCACCAGGGTTCCTTCTGGTCGCTGTTGTTCACGCTCAGTCAAGGCTAGTTCTAGGACAGGTTGGGTTTGATCTGTTTGCAAATGTGTCTGCTCCATCCGCCCGCTCCCCACAGCTTCCTTGGGATTGAGAAACCAGTCTCGTATTTGGTTTTCGCTCACGCCCACTGTCTGTGTTTTAGAATGTGTTTACCCTCAAACGCGTAGCTCTCAAATGTGCGTAGCCTGTCTCTTAGCCTTATAGTCTAGCTCATTTTCCAAGTGTATAGGATTCTTATTTAATTGCCTATTGACTTTTTTTTTCCAGGGTTCATTGAAAAATCCTTAGGGATATTGACATGGTTCAAGTGACCTAAATTAGCCAATGACTCGGAACGATGGCTTCCCTGAAGATTGGAAATGGTTTGCCAGTGATTGGACAAGGGCCTGGGCGAGGGGTCTCTTCACCCCCCATGGTGGGGTATTTGGGAAAAGTTAGTGAACTCATTTTTTGCCTCGGTGCGCAAAATTTTTCCTTTCCTCCTATGTTTGAAACTTACATCTGGCTTTAATTTTACTCATTAACTTGGGAAAAATGTCCACGGAAATCTTACAGCAATGGCGAAAGATTTTAAAATGTGTTTTTCTCTCTGCATTTCTATGGCAAGGCGAAAGTTAAAGTAAAACAGACTCACTGCCTCACTAGCCTCTGAAAATACGGAGCCTGTGTGGCTTCCTGGCAGTTGGCATTACCTTTTTTCCTTGCAAATGAAAACCGATGCTATTTCTAAACACTTCCCATGTGGTATTCAGAGTGGAAACATTCTTTTGGAAACGGTAGCTCTTTGTAAAGGCCTGGCTTCATTTCCCCGATTGGCCATGTTTAACATGTCTTGCCAGGACTTAGTTCTTGCTAAACATTGCCTCCCCCCGTTACCTTTCCATTGAGCGTTTGTTGTGATTGGATCTGCGATAGGGGGGCCTGCGTTTTCATCTGCGCTGTTTCTCTTCTAGACTCATGACTCCACCAGAACGACAGTGGGGGAGTACTGCCCGGCTTGTAGAGAGAAGGGGAAGTTCAAAGTGTTAAAGACTTACCGGATTAGTTTTCAAGAATCCATCTTTTTGTGCGAGGACCTGCAGGTAGAGTATTCGTCTCCACGGATGCAGCCTCTTGCTTTGTCTTGTGTGTGTCTGTTTGCACCCCTCCTTGATGTTTCAGAATGTAAGTGGTTAATGCTAGCCGGATCATCATCGATCTGGTAAGCAATTTAAAACCGCTTCCGATACATACACTATTGACGTGCCTCAAGTGAACTCATTAACAGATTGTACTCAGGCAAATTATTAAATGAACGCTACTTCCTGAGTTTGTTGCCTGAAAAAATGCTCATTCCCATTAGACTTGACCTGACAGGTGGGAGGGGAACAGGATAGGGACTTAGAAAAGTCTGGAAAAACGGAACTGGAAGATAATGGAATTTTCCATGCACTTTTTGAAACCCCTCGTACAGTTCAAGATCGATTTTGTCTATCTGTCTATGTCTCTGTCTTAAATGAGCCCTATGGAAGTTTTGTTTCCTGTTAGCACATAGACGAGGGGATTGGTTTATTAACTTTGGGACAGACGTGAAGACCTGTTAATTTCTAATATACCTGGAAGAGTGTTTGGAAGTGCTTTGTGCACGTGGGGGACCAGTAAGCTCTGCACCAAGTATTGGGTGCCCCGGTGGTGGAGTAGTTACACGCTGGGCTGTGGTCCGACTGTGAATCCACCAGCCCCTCTGGGAGAAAGACGGGGCTTTCTACTCCCACGAGGAGTTCCAGCCTGGGAAACCCACAGGGGCAGCTCCACCCTGTCGATCGGGCCGCTGTGGGTGGGCATCCACTGGATGGCAGTGAACATGAAGGAACTAAGTATTGTGTATTTTAGGTCTGTTTTACTTATTCATTTTTGCTGGAGCTTTAAATGGCTCTATACCTCTTAGAATGAATTGTAGTAGTTGAGAACAATGAGGACAACTTCCAGATAAGAAAGCCTTAAATTCTGTAATCTACATTGTATTAACTTTGACAGTCTGCACCAGTATCTCATATGTGTGTAATTCTCACAACTTTATGAGGTAGATATATTCCCATTTTTCGAATGGACCGATGAATTCAGAGGGCTTGGGAGCGTGAGGTTTCCCTGGAGCAGCTGAGCTGGGATTGAAATGCAGGAACCACGGAGTCAGCTCTAATTCTGAGCCCCTGTCCGGCAGAGAAGAACTGCCCCACAGGGATTCGAGGGCCGGCAGTCTCCTGGAAGCCCACTGCCTGGCAACCTCCGATCTTCCTGGTCAGCAGCCGAGCCCCAGGGACTCCGGGCCCCGCCGTTAGATCTGTTTCCTTCCAGCTAAAGTAGTAACTCATGGAAATCACCTTTTAAAAACCTGTTGGGCAGGACTGAGAGTAAGGGGGTGGTGGGCGGGTGTGCCGTGTCATGACGTGATGTGACGTGACGGACAGGGAGCAATGGAAGCCCCTCGAGAGCTGGGGACGGGCATGTGCCGGGAGCACCTCTATGAGAAAGTGGCACAAGCAGAAGCCAGAAGGAAACGGGGGAGCAGATGGGAGCAGATGGGGGCTGAGGTGGAGGTGGGAGCCTTCTAGTTGCGGGGTAGCAATGACAAAATCCCCAAGAGACCTTGGGAGCTGCTGGTCAGGTCTGTGCGACTGCCGGGAAGCCGGTCTGCGGAGACCTGGTGGTGCAGCGGTTGCACCATGGGCTGCTAACCACAGGGTCAGCAGTTCCAAACCACCTGCTGCTGCTTGGGAGCTGGGGCTTTGACAGTCTCACCCCGTGGGGGCAGCTACTTCTCCCCTGCTCTAAGGCTCTCTGTGAGTCAGAATTGACTAATTGGCGGGGTGTTTGGGTTTGGAAGGAAGTCTCGAGAAGGGAGAAGGGAGGCTAGAGCCTGCCCACGGCTCTGGCTTTCGCCCTGGGAGAAAGGAACTAAGAACCAGACTGGCAACATCAGACTTAGATGTTTGCAAGAGTCGCGGTGGCTGTGACTGAGTGTCCGTGTGATGGGCAAGACTTGGTGGTGAGAAGGCAATGGCCGTGTCCCCTCGGGGTGGCGTCCTGATTGAATTCCCGAGATAGTTTGAAGGGGGAGACCACTGGATCTGCTCAAAGATTAGGGTACGGGATAGGGGAGAGAATCATGGACGGTCCGAGATTTGGGACCTGAGACACTGAAAGAATGGGTTGCCATTTACTGAGATAGGGAGGAAGAGGAAGGCTTCAGGAGGGAGTTCCAGTCCCGCTGGGGAAGTCTGTCTCCCACCCCATGCGTGTGTGGAGTAAACTGCTGGCTCTAAGTTGGTGGCGTTAGATGGAGTGTGAGGTTTGAGCGGGAAATGTAGGCTTCATCAGCATGAGAAGCCACGAGGCTGGGTGAGTTCACCCAGAGGGTGGCTAAGGAGGTCCCAGGACTGAGCCCCAGAACACCCAGCATTAGGAGGGTGGGGAGCTGAAGAAGTCACGAAGTGAACTCTGAGGGGAGAGCAAAACTGAGACGAGTTTGAGGTCCCAGAACTCAAACGGGAAGTTAAGACTCCGCTGACCACCAGCCCTGTAATGAACACAGTCTCGGCACGTGGGACTGAGTGATCACGGGGGGAAGGGGGGGAGTGGGTCTGATAGAAACGGCCTCCACACAGCATGCATACACAAATGGGACCAAAAAACAGTGGAAGTTTCCCATGAACTTCTTGATACTCCCACCCCCCAGTATAGTGCTAGGTGGCACCGGGAAGTGGGACGCACGCTGCTGGTCTCTGGCGGTGGTGATGGTGGGAGTAGCCTGTGGGACAGGAGTGCCCTGTCGGGTTTTCTTAGTGGGATCAGATCAACAGGTTGTTATTCCCTAGAGGCAATGGGTAGCCTCCCAGCCGGCTGCCTTTAGTTAGCAGCCGTGTGGTTAACTGGTGGCGCCAGGCTGGAGCTGAAGAAAGAGTCAGTTGGGTAGGGGAGGGAAACCCGTTGGATTGCCCGGAGTAGGGTGAGAGATGACCTTTGGGTGGTTGACAGCTCACTGCCAGTGACAAACTTTATGCAGAGGTTTGCTCAGTGAGCAAACTCAAAGTGGGACTGTGAGCATGGGGAGATGGGAAATTGGAGCTTACTGATGGAAACAAGAGTTCACCTGCTTTTCCTCTGAATTGTATATACGTTTTCAGTAGAGTTCTTTAGCCAAGGGCTATCTTGCAAGGGGGCTGCGGAAACATGGTGGAAAAATGGATTTAAATGTTGACGGAACTTTCCCATCAACTCTTTGAAGCCCACTGGCGCATAGCGAGAGGCGGGACTTGACGGGATTGTCCTGTTTGTCCGGGTCTTGCCAGCCTCCCATCTTTGATGGGGGTGCAGCTCACCAGCTCTGCTGCCACTCTCTGGATCCTCAAACTCAATGCCATCGAATCGTTCCAAAGGAGGACCGAGTCACACTGCCCCTGTGGGTGTCCCAGTGTATCACTCTACAGGGGTAGAGATCCTTGTCCCCGTTTGGCCACCCCACCCCCCCCCACGGTTTCTGAGTGCTGGCCGGGCACTGTGTATTCACTGCCACCAGGACTCCCCACTAGTGGGAATAGCATGATTTTGCCTTCTCTAAAGGGTTCCACCTGCTACGCACTGGGAATGGCTTTTACAGATTTTACCGTAGTCACAAAGAAACTTCTGTCCACTGGAAATGGGGTGGCTGTAAAGGACAGAAGTATGATAATCACTTTCAGTGTTTGAAATAATCTTTTTAAATGAGCAAAACAATATAAGAAGTTTAAGCATTATCTCTTAAAATGTATACAAATAACTTAATTACTTTGGCTAATTCTTTTTTTTCATTAGCAGTAAGACAGCAGCTAACTACAGTGTACTTCATGACAGAGATCAATTTATACAAAACTCAAAACACCAGCTCCTGTCAAGTTAATTTCGACTCCCGTGGACCCACAGGACAGAGTAGGCCTGCACCTGTGCGTTTCCAAGGCTGTGCATCTTTATGGGAGCAGACCGCCCCTCTTTCTCCTGGACTCGAACTGATGGCATTGCAGTAACAGGCCAACACCCAGCCACTGTGCCACCAAGCTTCCTTTGGCTTACCCAGGGGGTCAGCCAATTGTTTTCTGTGGCCCATGAGCCAAGAATGAGTTCCGTTTTTAAATGGTTCAACCATAAACAAAACCAAAGAATAGTCTTCTTCTACGTATGTGAGATTCAAATTTCACTCTTCGTGAATAGTTTCCTTGTAACGGAGCCTCCTCGCTCAGTCATGGGCATTCTGAACTGACTGGAAGCGTGCTCACTGCATTGGCAATCCAGTAGTTGTGCTGTGACAGGACAGAGTCCTCATGGCTCCCAAAGCCCGAAGTCTTGACTTCATGGCCCTGTATAAGAAAACATTTACTGATACGTGATCTGTAGGGACTGCAGATCAAATGATTAATTTCCGGGGAATTACCAAGTTTGCTGCGTATGGCAAAGATTCTCTCAGCTGCTAGGAATTGCAGGGAGCCCCTGGGAAACTCCTTGTATCAGATACTTACATTTAAATAGATTTCGGAATTTAGGTTGGTGGTAGTAGGGACCACTCATCACACTGGATCAAAATCAATACCAAACTGCAGTGACACTTGCAGGACTCTCAGTGTTTCCAGTAAGGAGTTTTTTAAGCTTGATTTTTTTTCTTGATCATTCCATTACTCATTCTCTTTACTGTTTAATGACGTTTACAAGAGATGTTTAAATCATTAATGTTAAAAGTCTTCAAATCACATACTTCGGGGGTTTGTCATTGGCAAAATGGAGTGTTCAGTGTGCTTCTCATTGTCCTTGGCCTTCCCACAGACCTGGTTACTGTTGAACGTAGTTTTCCTTATTCCTGTCCTGTAGCACTAAAAGCAGGGGTTGACTTATGCACACTGCTCCAAAAACCCTGAGCGAGCCAGCATTCAGACCATAGAAACCAAGCTCACTGTCAGGGAGTTGGTTCTGACCCCTCGCCACCCTGGGCACAGGGTAGAAGTGCCCTGTCTGTGGGAGCTGGACGCCGCCTCTTGCTCCCTCGGTGGGAACTGCGGCCTTGAGTCTGCGGTCCAGCGCGTGACCCACTGCTCCACCAGGGCTTCTTGAGCAGCATTAGGCATTTAAAAAAAAAAAAATAAGATTTGGGTTTTAAATGCTATTAATCAGTGGTTCTCCACTTTTCCTGATGCTGCGACCCTTTCATACAGTCATGTGGTGACCCCAACCATACAATTATTTTCGCTGGTACTTCATCGCTGTAATTTTGCTATTATGAATTGGGCAAATCCTGTGAAAGGGTCATTTGACCCCCAGAGGGATCGTGACCCACTGGTTGAGAACCACTGTACTAGATGGTTGGGCTGGACTAACAATCACAATGCTCTGTGTATCTTTTTATAGGGACTTTGGATCAGAGTTACTCCTCTTGACTTTAAAGTATTCTGAGTTTTCTGACCTATGATCCCCTCAGGAAAAAACAAAAACCCTAGAAAACCAAACTCAACTGCCATCGAGTCCATGGACGGGCTCACAGTGACCCTGTAGGACACAGTAGAACTGCCCTTGTGGGTTTCCAAGATGGAAATTCTTCTCTGCAGTAGAAAGTCCAGGCTTTCTCTTAGGAAGCGGCTGGTGGTCTCGAACTGCTGACCCTGTGGATCGCAGCCCAACATGTAACCACGGCACGACCAGGGCTCCGACCCTATGGTAGGAGTTGGGAAATAACTTCAGGGTGTAAAGCTGAGGGTCAGTGGGCATGTCCAGCTGTGCTGACATTGAATGACCGGTTAATACTCAAAAGTCCTCAAGTGCAGTCTCATGAGTCAAAGAGCCCAGTACCGTCGAGTCCGTTCTGACCCTGCAGACGGGGCGAACTGGCCCTGTGGGTTTCGGAGGCTGCCAATCTTTACAGGTGCTGCCAGCCTCGCCTTCCTCCGGAAGAGCGGCTGGTTGGGATCGGCCTCTGGCTAGCAGCTGAGCGCTTTTGGTGAATGAGTGACCAGGCCCCCCACTGAGGAGGCCTGTGGACACTGCACATAGTGCAGGAGAGCCCCGGGCCGGGGGAGGTGCCCCTCACTGTGACGCAGACCTCTGAACAGGGTGGGGCAGGGGTTTCCTTTATTGTTTCTCCCCATGTTGCAGGCTGACACATGACATGCTGCCCTCTGGGACATCTGAGATGTCGCCTGGCTGGTAATTGGTGTTAGAAGTGGCCCTGTGGCAGACCCCCAGGGGGTTGGCTGCTTACTCCAGAGGGGGCTGGGCTCCCCATGGGGCTCCCGAAGGATGATGGACAGGTACCAGTGAGCATGTGCTTCACAGGCTCTCGGGGCTTCCTGCTGGCTGGTGCCCGTCCTCCAGGGGCTCTTTGTGGAAGAGAGAGGCAGGCTTTGATGGAAGCCGTGAGCTGGCAGTTTGCAGACACAGGAAGAACCACTGGCGTTTCCGTGGTTTGTCTACTGCTGTGGCCGCTGGCTGCAATAGTGTTGTTGATCACAGTGGGATTCCATGAGGTCGTTCACGTCCATTCCGCGTGCCCCTGCCTCCAGCACAGATGCACACCAGCCCTTCTCTCCTCTCCGATGCCTGTGGTGTCAACACGGAAACCACCTCCCTCCAGAATTGGCACTGGGAACGCTCTCCCAGCTGGGAACAGGACAGTCAGGTCGCTTGCCAGTCACTGGCTCGTCACTGAGGTTTGAGAAGTTGCTGGCATTGGTACACTTGCTTGACGTTAGCTTTTTTGAGGATTACAGCCCAGCTTGTAACCACTACACCACCAGGGGAAGTTAGCTTTTTTATTAAAGCAAAAATAACCAATGCTTTCCTGGCCATTTTAAAGCCTAGAGTGGCTCAGATGAATCCTGGGCTCGTTCAGATGAGCTAGGAGATGCTGTTGTTGGCGGGGCTGAATTTCTGATAAGTGTCGAGTACTTGTTTGTCTCTGGTCCCTTCAAATTCACGGTCACTAACACTACCCTCTTACTGTGCACGTCAGGGCTCACGCTGACTCCCTGTTGACGTCTGCGGGGAGCGCATGCTTGTGTGGGTTTGCGTGGATGCCCTCATCTCATGTTTCTCTTCTAGTGCATCTACCCTCTGGGCACCACACCTCTGAGTCGCGCCCGTGGCTCTGATTGGGAAGACCAGCCCTCCGCAGATAAGCCTCGGAAGAGAAGGCACTCAGCAGCCGGCTGCCCAGGTTCCCCTCTCGGAACAGAGCCCAAGAGGCCCCGAAGCCAGGATGCCACTGATGGCAGGGCACGGACGCTGAGTAGCAGCCGAGATGGAGAAGCCGACGATGGAGTCGCACGCCGCTCGCCCGCCCCACTGGAACATGACTCCCACAGTCCTTCGCGGCCAGTGGGCTCCTCAGAGGAGCAGGGGCTTTTGGAAACTGACACTGTTGACCTGCCCCCAGAAGACCACCCTCCCACAGTCGACGTCTCCAGAACCCAGGGGGCGGAAGGCTGTACCTCTGAACCGGAAGTGCCGTTGGCCCCCGGGGGGCCACCGTCTCGCCGGGCTGGCCTGGTCCAGTGGAAGAACGCGTATGCGCTGTGCTGGCTAGACTGCATCCTCTCGGCCCTGGTGCACCTGAGAGGGCTGGCCCCGGTCCTGGCTGGGCAGGGCTGCTCCCGGGAGTCCCTGTTCTGGCAGCTGTTCACCAAGTACAGCGAGGCAGATGAGCTGCTTCGGACCACCCAACCCCACCTGGAGGGCAGGAAAGGTGGGTACCAGTCCTCTGCTGTTCTTTGCCCTCCATCCCCCCGGACTGTGTTACTGGGACTTCATCCAATGGGCTTTTCTTTGAAGGTTGACCCAGCAGTTGAGGGGCCAACCTCACCGGAGAAGGCGCCCAGCAGCCAACTGCCCAGATTCCGCACAGGCGGTTTGCCCACAGGTGGTTGCTCAGGGCATCAGGCGCAAGCTCTAGTTTCACTGCCTCCCATCTGTCTTCTCAGCCGGGTCCTAGAGTCAGCGCTGACCCATTAGTCTCACTCAAGGGACTCTGAAGGAGCTTGGGACTTGGGGGTGCGACTTGGAGTAAACTTGGCCAGTCTGTGGTGTACGTGACGGGGCTCATTTTGGTTGGAGTTTTGAAGAGCAGCTCGGGTGATTTATGTTGTTGGTTGTTGCCTCAGCTCAGCGAGTGCGGGTGACAGTGCCGAGCTGCCGCGTGGGCATTTCTGGGCTGAAATCTATGGGAGCAGCCACCAGATCGGTCTAGCCAGAGTTGTGAGGTGGGTTCGAACCGCCAGGCACATAGCCGGTGCACTTTTCACGGTTTTGTGGGTGTGTGAGCCTACTGCTGGGCGTTGGGGTGTCCTCTCTCGGTGAAGCGACACTTGGGAGCAGACCGTGCTGCGCTTCCTGCTGCAGGAGAGCCCAGGAATGTCTTGGCGCAGCTGTCGGGCGGCACGGGCTGTTTATTGAGGGGCTTGAGTGGAAAGATTCATTTGTGGGGTCAGAACAACTGGAGCTGTGCAGGTTTTGTTCAGAATGCGGAGTCCTGGGGCCACGGTGGTGAAGTACATGTCAGCAGTTCAAACCCACCCAGCGCTCGGCACGAGCGGGATGTGCCTGTCTGCTCTGCTCTGTCCCGTGAGGTCACCGTGAGTTGGTATTGAAGGAGGCGTGGGGGTGCAGCGGGGACTGCAGAGAATCACCATCAGCGTGAGCCCAGCTCAGAGGTGGCGTGACTCTCTCTCCACCTCCTTCCTTCTTTGCCAGTTCTGACACCGACTGTGCCTCCCACGGACCCGCTGCTTCTCCCCCGCCCCAGTCATCCACTGCAGCGGGCACACAAGTCCCGGGCCAGACTCGCCAGGGAAGTTAACGGGTTAGAGACGAGGTGAGGCCCACTCAGGCAGGACATCATCCTCTTCTCTGCCCTCGCCCCTTGGAGGGCTGCTGACAAATGCCCAGAGGGCTTGCTATGCTGCCAGAAATCTCAGCCCGAAGGTGCTCCGCTCTAGCTCTGCCCAGCAAACCTGGCACCCCCAGTTAAGTGCCAGGAGGAGACACCGCACTCCACAAGCGGCACTGGGCTCTCCTCTGGGCCCCGGCTTTCTGTGCATGCATCGAGGAGGCTCAAGGTGTGGGGATCTCAGGGTCCAGATGACGAGCTCCACTCCTGGCCCTCGCTTAGCGTAGTGTGACTTCCCCTTTGCTGCTCCTGAAGTGGCTTGTTCTGTACCTGACAGGATGGCACGCAAAACCCGACCAGTCCCATGTTGGAGCTCCAAGTTCTCACACCCAGAATTGGCTGTGTTAACCATTAGAGCTGATTGATGTTACCTGTCGGTACCTTCCCCCACCTCTCACCCAGACCTGTCAGGAAGAGAGGAACTGAACCCAATCTGTATGGTCCTCCTCAAGGATTGAGCAAAAGTCCAAACCAAACCGCTGCCATCGAGTCGATTCTAACTCAGAGC